GAAGGAAAGCACAGGACAATTGAAGAACATATGGAACTCAAAATAATATCAAAGCCACAATCTATAATATGAACGTCAAGACAGCTAGTTCTGCTGTACGCAGTTGAAACTTTGAAAACTACAACAACCATCATCCAGAATGTATGAGTGTTCGCAAATGATTGTCTGCGCAAAATACTCAACATCTACTGGTCGAATACCATCAGCAACAACTTACTGTGAGACAGAACAAACCAACTTGTATTTGAAGAGGAAATTAGGAAAGGACGTTGGAAGTGGATAAAACACACTTTAAAGAAATCACCAAACTCCATCACGAAGTAAGTGATACCTTGAACTCTTGAAGGGAAACGGAAAATATGAAAGCCAAAGAACACATTACGTGAGGAAATGGAAAAAGATGTACATAGGAACAACAGCAGTTAAATTGATATTTTATTTTAATCATGTATCTATAAATGCGGGTATCTATGTGGGTATGTGGTTATGTGATGAATATATAACTTTGTCCTGTTTTCTAACATTTGAACTCACTATTATCATCATGTTCATTTAAGTCCTATTTATTCATTAAATGTTCTGATTGTAACTATGGTAAATGAATCAATTCTATAATGTTATAATTACAATCATTATACTGTAGTAAAACTAATCAAATTTGGATGTTGATGTTTTTGTTAAATAGGATAAAACGAGTCAGCTAACTAAAATTCACTGTAAAAACATCAAGTGTATGTGTATGTGAGTGTGTAATTATGTATGCATGTATGTGTGAGATTATTTATTGTTGATAATCTGTGTTAATGTGTTATCTATGATCTGATCTCTGTTCAAGTTAGAATCTCTCAACACATAATGACAGTACGTAGATCTTGGTCGACATTCATTTACCGGCAAATATAAATCGCTGGCACCCCTTTATAAAAAAGGTAGGGTGTGAATTGAAAATTTAGGTATCTGTGATTGGTGTACTTGTTTTGCAAGTGTGTACTCAAGTGAAAATGAACCAAAAATTTGTCACCTTTAATAATTTTGTAATTGATCGTAAACTCTTGATCTTTGCAATCTGATTAGTTGAAATCGAAATAGGATCAAGTGCTTTGATTTGAAGTCAGAAATTGCATTTTTATATTTGAAATATAATAATAATGAAAAATTTATTTGTGTAAAGGTAATCTTAAGAACAATTTATGCTTTTCAAGAAGAAAACACCAACTGAAATCGTAGTGTTAGTGAATGTGTATTGAGATAAATGTTTGATATCCGATCAAGTGATTTAATGTCAGCAGCGGTTTAACAGCTTCAAGCTCACCATCCGTTAACCTACGCAACCATGAATTACCTTCGTACCTGAGGGAACTGCACTCGTGATTGTGACGCACATTCCCACGTACGACAGTCCAGATGCCGTCTACTATCTTACAAAATATAAAAGCCGGACATTGTGTGTTCATGGAAGCGCTTCGTGAAACAAATTATAATAACAAAAACCAATTTACCTCCTCCTTCTTATACGCTGTGACGAACCGCTAGATCTTATACGCACGTCCCTCCAACACACAAATTTTATATAAGAATTTTGATCTCGACTAATATGCGAATCTCGCACGACATAATGACTGTAACTCGACCTTTCATAATTAATGATAGCCATCTTCAACGCTTCAATCGATGGAAAGGCAACCAGAAACAAGGTTGTTAAAAACACTTCATCCAGTTCCGTTAAGTGAGAAACAACAGCGCTTGTACTTGGAACGTTACTGTCCTCCATAATGACGATTAAAATGTACATCGTCTGCATGTACTGATAATTTATGCTTTTCAAGAAGAAAACACCAACTGAAATCGTAGTGTTAGTGAATGTGTATTGAGATAAATGTTTGATATCCGATCAAGTGATTTAATGTCAGCAGCGGTTTAACAGCTTCAAGCTCACCATCCGTTAACCTACGCAACCATGAATTACCTTCGTACCTGAGGGAACTGCACTCGTGATTGTGACGCACATTCCCACGTACGACAGTCCAGATGCCGTCTACTATCTTACAAAATATAAAAGCCGGACATTGTGTGTTCATGGAAGCGCTTCGTGAAACAAATTATAATAACAAAAACCAATTTACCTCCTCCTTCTAATACGCTGTGACGAACCGCTAGATCTTATACGCACGTCCCTCCAACACACAAATTTTATATAAGAATTTTGATCTCGACTAATATGCGAATCTCGCACGACATAATGACTGTAACTCGACCTTTCATAATTAATGATAGCCATCTTCAACGCTTCAATCGATGGAAAGGCAACCAGAAACAAGGTTGTTAAAAACACTTCATCCAGTTCCGTTAAGTGAGAAACAACAGCGCTTGTACTTGGAACGTTACTGTCCTCCATAATGACGATTAAAATGTATATCGTCTGCATGTACTGATAATTTATAACAACTTTCCAGACATAACTAACCAATTACATAGAAGTTTTAAAACTACCCATTTCATTGGACGAAACAGGGGATGAAAAGTATTGTAATTTTGGGGTGGAAAAAATTTTTTCATGGGGGTGGGGGACACTTAAAAAAAATTGCCGGTGGAATAAGATAATTCTAGTGAAATGGCATAATTGATTGATCTTTATATGAATGAATGTGATTGCTTAAGAAGTGAACAAATGAAATGGATAAAAGAATAAGATAGAGAATATTAAGTGAATAATCAATGAAAACATTTTCAGTTTAAAACGATTGTAATTCGTGTCTACTATACGGAAAGCATGACTACCCCGGAACCTTTATCAGGACGAAGTAGCAATATTGTTTCATCTTTCATAAGTTTTTTTATTGCTAGTTGGTGATCTTTAGTTAGCACCTTCGATTGTAGGGTTGGTGTCATTATGTACTGGTTTGTAATATCGACTAATTTCGATTTTAACCAACTATGTTTTTCTTCATTCATGGGTTTGAGTTCTGACAATTGTTGATATAAATACTCAAACTGAGTTTCTGTGTCTATTCTGCTACATTTTTTCGAAATATGAAATTTAAATCCAAGGGAGAGTGCCTCAGTTTCAATTCGAGTTAGTTTTTTACTAGATAAATTCTGTACATATTTTTCTGGATTCGTAGGGAAGAGTTTATGGTTTTGTTCTTTCACACGTGTTTTAGTTAATGTCTTTAAGAATTTGTGACTGGTTTTGGACTGAACATCGTGAATGAAATTCATTCGACGTCTCATCACTCTTCACTAATATCCCCTTGGAAGAAACGGTGGATATCATGTGTAAATATCCTGAACTTCTACCTCTACCAATTCATGATTACAAAAAGCTCCTTTTTTTATGTACTAGAAACATACAATTTCAATTTAATAATGTGTTTTACCGTCAAATTGATGGAGTTGCCATGGGTAGCCCGTTGGGCCCAATTCTTGCCGATATATTTATGGGATACCTGGAACAAAAAGTGCTTAAGCACGCAATCGACACTACTACATTATACTGTAGATACATGGATGACACATTTCTTGTCTGTAACAATCATAAGCATGCTATTAAACTACTCAATCTGTTCAATAAAGCACATAAGAATATAGAATTTACTATGGAAAAGGAAGTTGAAGGTAAATTCCATTTCCTGGATATCGGTATCAGACGAACACCTGATGGCACATTACAGAGACACATTCATCATAAAAATACTTGGAGTGGACTATATCTTAATTACTATAGTTTCTGTCCAATGAGTTACAAAAAGTTTGATACGAACCCTTTTTGACCGCGCACAAAAAATTTGTTCAAAGGAATGCCTGGATGATGAGATCACTCTCATCACTAATGCTCTACGTAAAAATTCATACCCGTTAAAATTTATCCATAAATATGCAAAAACCAATCCTCAGGCAAAGTATGATAGAGTTGAAAAGAAATCTTGCTTCTTATATCTACGTTTCAAAGGAGACGAAATTGCTGGCTTAATTAATCACAGACTAAATTTGGCGTTGAAAGTTGCCTACCCAGCAGCTAAATTAATGACAGTATGGAAAACGAACTGCTCACTCAAAGAAACTAAAATCGACAAGTCCTCTTTTCTTAGAAGCTCCAACTGCATTTACCGATTCACATGTTCGTGCCAAAGCACATACATTGGAAGAACTGAGAGAAAAGTACATGTTCGTATTTCTGAGCATGTTCCAAAGAACTTGAGGCTGCGAGGGACGAAGGTTCTTAATAGTGCGATAGCTCGGCATTTACTGGACACCAGGCATACCATTGATATCTCACATGCTTTCAAAATTATCAATAGACAACGAAGTACTACTACTCTCCGGTTCGCGGAAGCGATTGCGATAAAAAAACTTAAACCGGATTTATGCATTCAAAAAGAGACGTTAATAAACTTATCATTACCCTGGTAACTTTTTTTGTGTGTGTAAGTTATTTTATTCACTTATTTTATTTTCAAAATATTCATTTTGGGTTATATTCCCCCCATTACCTAATTCTTAAACCAACTTTCCATTCACACATTTCCACCCACTAATCCTCTTATATCATGTTAACCTTTCTAATTCTATTCAATTATTACGTAACCTATCTTATCACTGTTCTATTACCTCTAAAATAATTATCACACAATGAATAAACTTCATTCAACTATTACATTACCCATCTTTAATTGTTTCCTTAATCCTAACATCAATTAACCTATGACCTGTTCTAGCATATATATATATATATATATATATATATATATATATATATATATATATATATATATATATATATATATATATATATATAGTTATTATTGTAAACCTTTGCCATTCCAGTTATTTACATTCATTTATGCCAATTGTTTTACACTATCTCAATGTAAAATTTTTTATCACATATTTGGTTGTAAGCAGCTGATGAGAAACCTCGAAATATTGTGAATTCATACTATTCTGCATCAATATTTGTTCTTGCTTTATTTACATTTATAAGTAGTTATCAAATCCCAATAATGATTTATAATCTTGCTGATGAAACACCAACTGGTTCGTTAATTGGTAATATAGCAGAAAATTTATCTATAAATTATATAAGGAAATATACATTCTTGTTAATTACATCAATGAAATTTCAATATATAAATGATTACATAAAGATTACATCTAATGGTGATCTAATCACATTACGTCACATTGATCGGGATAATACAAATGATATATGTGGTCCATTAAATTGTTGTACATTAACCGTATGTCAAATTGAAGCGAATATCATTCTCACTAAACAGTGGGAACAAGATTTTATTCATGTGAATCATTCAATAATGAAAGATACTCGTATTACTGATGAAGATGAAGAAATTTTGAGACGAAACCCGGTAAAATTGAATGAATCTAATCAACAAACGATTATACGTTTATATATACGAATTAATGATGCAAATGATAATCCACCACGTTTTATGTCAACTACGATGATTAAATATGATCCATTAAATATATCTCATCAATTATATAATAGACCATTTATCATTTATATCCGAGGTGATACAAACGGATTTGAAGGTTTACCTACTGCTTCCGATGCAGATTCTGAAGTAAATGGTATAGTCATGTACAAACTGGTTGAACATACAAATAATGGAGATCCTGTGAAGGAACCTCGTTTAAACATTAGTATAACATATGATAATATCAATTCAATCAGTCCGAAATCAATACTTCTAAGATCATTAGATTATGAAAATCTAGATGATCGTGAAATCTATGCAACATTCTATGCAATTGATGGTGGTGATCCATCTTTAACTGGTTCACTATCAATTATAGTTCGACTATTAGATATCAATGATAATCCACCTATTATAAGACAATCTACAATGATTGACCAATCTATTATATTACCAGAGAATACAACATTAGATGACAAACCATTCTATATAGTGAATGCAACAGATGCTGATTCCGGGGATAATAGTCGATTAATCTATTCATTTAGTTCATTAGTCAATAGTTTAATTCCATTGAAATTTCATATTGATTCAAGAAATGGTGCTATTACAATACGTGAACCATTAGATTATGAAATCTATTCTGAACGTCAATTTCTATTACCGATTGTTGTCAAAGATTGTGGCAGTCCACAGTTGTCAACCAGTACATCCATTTCTATACAGATTAAGGATATTATTGATAATATACCAACATTAATTATACAAGAGAATATTACTATACCTGAAGGACAAATATTTACAAAACCAATTATACGGTTTTATATTAAAGATGATGATGAAGTATCACATGGAAAAGTAAGTGATTTGTTCATAGTTACTCCACATGGACAATAGGTCGCTGACTAGCATTCATCCAATCTAATCTGTCCTGGGTCTTCTTTTCTAGTTCTGTTCAATTATTGTTTATTCTTCTCATGTTTGTCATCATTTCAAGGCGTTATGTGTTCTTTAGTCTTCCTATTCTCCTCTGACCTTTAGGGGATCAAATGAGGGCTTGGTTTGTGACGTAGTTGGATGCTTTCCTCAATATATGTAGCTATCAGATCATTCGTAAGTATCTAGTTTGTTCTCTCCTATAGTAGGTTGTTATTGATAGTGTCTAATCAATTGATCTGGATAACTGTTAATAAACACTTGTATCTTCTGGATGATAGCTCCATACCGTAGAATTGTTTTGATATTACCAATAGTGGTGAGACTATAGTTTATGAATGATTCAATCAAATATAAGAATACAGATCTTAGATTTTTGCATGAAATTCACTTATCCATTTGGTTAAAAGATTCATGTCATTATAGTTGATGTTAGTTCATGATGAAAATCCTCCACATCTAATTCTCAACCTTAACCTCACAGTAATTTATAACTCTCATTCGGTCCTAGTCATTAGATAGATACAGTCTCAATGTCAGTCTGTCGTCGCTCAAAGGTCCTCCATAAATGATAGTGTCATTCGTTCTTTGAACATGTTTATCTAATCGGATCTCCAGTACTTTCAGGTGATATAAAAAAGAATAACGATTAAACGCGACTATTCCATGGAATCGATCAAGGTTGAGTTGCCTATCTGAAGGTCATTTTGCGTCTACTCTAAAAATTGAAAAGTAAATTCAGAGATTGGTTTCCTCGCATTTATGTAAATCGAAGATTAGGATACTGATCTTAAGTTACTACACATGAAGTATATTTCATGGTGTGAAGATGTACAAACAAAGATGGATAGCGCTTAGCAATAGAATCCAAGATACTCGTTTCGTTCTATATGAGACTCATCACGCACTATCCATCTTTGACTAAAGTATTTGTGAATTAAGGCAATGTCGAGGATGCACAAATGCTAATAAGAGACTGATCAATCGAAGTGCTAAGTATCAGTGGAAAGATTCAAGTAAACCAAAATGCCAAATGAATTTTAAATTCACCCCATTGCACAAGCACTCACTAGCCAAGTGAAAAATGCGATGGCGTTTGAAGCGAAAGGTACTGGGTTCGATTCCTGGAACGAATATAAACTCTAGAATGCAGGTATACCAACCTGAAGAGTTGCAAATAAGATGAATCGCCTGTTCTGGATTCCACTCCTAGCCATCATACCTCTTTGCATATAATGCTTGTGACTTGAGGCAATCCGTACAGGATGCACATATGCTATAAAAATATACTGATCAGTTGTCGTCCTAAACAACAATCGGAAGATTCACGTAAACAATATCAAGTGAATGTAAAGATAGTTGTAAAACTATTTTTACTCTTATAGAAAATCTAGACAGAAAATGATTTTTTGGTTGTATGAATGAATCCTTCAATTGAATAACAACACCAAGTGAATTTAAACTTCACTTTATTGCACAAGAAATAGTCTATTAAAACTCAGTAGCTCAGTGTATAACACAATGGTGTTTGAAACGATTAGTACAAAGTTCAAATCCAAGAGTAAACATCAATTCTAAAATGCAAATGTATCCAGCTGATGAGTCCCAAATAGAACGAAACATGAGTCAAACTAGATTCCACTATTAGCTAATATCTATTTTTGGATATAATCAATATATTGATTGATAATATCACAGTGAATAGGAATTCAATTCATACAGAATGTTATTTTATTCCATAATATAAATGACATGAGTATTTCAATACTTTTCTCTTTGTTCATTAATAAACAAAACAGAGAGAGAGAGAAAAAAGAAAAAAAAGATAAACAAAAATTGATTTACAAAAAATTTTTTTTGCTTTTTTTTCAAAGTTAAAACAAAATTGATAAAAATAAATAGAGATAAAACTAGCTTAGTGGTGGTGGTGGTAAAAAGGGGGAAATAGAAAACTAAAGGTTGTGTGAAATTCTCTTTCTTTTCTCTTTTGTTACCAACGAAATCTTATTGTCCTCCTCCTACTCCTTCTTCTTCTTCTCCTTCTTCTTCTTCTTCTCCTTTTTGTTATTATTATCAATACTGTTTCTTTTCTTACCTCATTTGTTTACAAAATTTTACTTATTTATTTATTTGTTTACTTTGCATCGTTACACTTTGTATATAAAAGGAATTCCGTTTGAGAGAAAAAAAAGTTTAAAAGGATAATTAAAACAAAAATTGTACAACATGAATGAAATTTTATGTGATGAGGGTGATGGTGATGGTGGTAACAGGTGATGGTTGTGAGAAATCAGGTGATCCATTGAAGTGAAGGAAATTCAATGAATCAATCAATGAATGAGTTAACATCAAAACGATCGACATCTTTTGTTGATTTTGTACGCTTTTAAGTTTAGAATAGAATAATTTTTATTTCTTTGGTAATCTAATGGATTCATTGTAGATGAGGGTGAGGTGTGATGTGGTAACAGAATGAGAAAGTATTAGAGGTGTGGGTTTGGGGGTGGGGAAGGAAAGATAAAAGAGTAATTTCACATCAATCAATTCTTCAAATAAGAAACATATATTTACGATTAATTATTTATTTAATAATAAATATTGAACAATTTGCCACCTAGAAAAACAAAACTTTGATCAGAATATCTTTTTTAAAAATAGGACTGACATACTGCTGACGAGTCCTATAATAGGAAGAAACGGCCGTTCAGTACTTTCAGGTTTTCCATAATGTTCTAGGTTCAATCGACTCATGATTTCAGCCATTGAAATTACTATAATATCCACAAAACCCTTCTGATATTTGTATAAATTAGTTTCTTAGATATTCTGGTGAGACTATAATCTTTAAGCGACCTTTGAGTGACGCTAATGTGGTCTTGAGAATGTCCACTCACTGACTAGGGTTAAATGAGTGTCTTAATCCAATATGAAGGATAAGGATTGTAATTTACAGCTGACAGTTAGGGATATGAATTGGATTTGGAGTTTTTATCACAAACTGACATCAGCTAAAATCTCAAGACACTATTTAGCCAAATGAATAAAGATTCACTTGGAATTGTTTGTTTGAATCTTTTCATTGATTTTTAGCAGTACAATTCATCAGTCTCCGTTATTGGCATATGTGCATATTGTGCGTATTACCTCAATATAACCTTCATTCACAAGCATCATATGCAAAGATAGATAGCAATTAGCAGTGGAATCTAGGACACGGGTTTCGTCCTATTTTGAACTTGTCAGCTGGGTGTACCTGCATCCAAGTGTTGATGTTCACCCCACGACTCGAACCCAGTACCATTCGCTTCAAACGCTATCGCGTTATCCACTTTGCTACTGAGTCTAAATAGCCACTTGTGCTTGTGTGTTGGGGTGAATTTTAAATTCACTTGATATTGTTTGTTTGAATCTTCATATTGATGTTTAGCACTGCAAATAATCAATCTCTTAGTGACAGATATGCATACTATGCAAATGCAAGTAGCGATCAGGACTCAATAGCTAAGTGGATAACATGATAGTGCTTGAAGCGAACGGCATTGGGTTTGAGTCCCGGAGTGAACATCAACTCCGGGATTCAGGTACATCCAGCTGACGAGTCTCAAATAGGACAAAACGCGTGACTTAGATCCTAATGCAAGCCACTATCCATCTTTGCATAAGATAGATGTAGAATTTCACGCCGAAATCCAAAACCTGTTATCGTAAATCTGAATAGTTTGTCCATAAATTATGGTCTCGTCAATCTTTTTGTTGTTGTTTAGTATCATCTCCCATCTAAATTGTACATACACCGTGTTTGATTGGTACATTCCACCTTCTACTACCTTCAATCATCTAATATCAAACTAAAATACTCTGTGTTATTTATCGTCTTATATTTGAACAAAATATATAGTATCTATGATTGTATACATGTTGACAACTCCACCTGTAGCTCGTCTAAAGCTGTTATCGATCCGAAGCCCACACACAAAAAAGTGGAGGTGGGGGTTAGATATAGATAAGTAACCCCAACCCATAGAAATTAACTTTGCCATAAACAAGAAACGTTAACCAGTATAAACCATACATGTGAACAAAACGAATCAAAATGACAGCTGTTCTGATCATTTATTGATTATCATTATTATTTCTCTTTTTATTTTTGAAAAATTTTCAAACTAGAAAACAGACATTCATTTTAATGAAAGTTCCCGATAGAATATCAACAAAAAAGAGAAGGGGGGAGGAAATTATATGACTTTCTATAGTTGTAATCACCCCATGTGGAAGAAGTAAGAAATTGTTACTATTCGACTTGAGGTGGTTGTTGTGGAGATTGTAGTAATATTGACTCAGTGGTCTAGAGGTTAAACGTTCTCATTTGAAGACCGAAGGTCGTGGGTTTGATTCCTGTGTACGTGAGAACCGGAGATCCCGGATGCTAATTCTTCATGCAGGATCGTGAATGTGCAGGGAAGAGAAGTATCCATAGTAGAAAGAGACAGCCATTCAATGATTTCAAGTTTTTCATGGTTGATCTAACTTTATTAGGATTCATGAATTCAACTATTACCTTAACTACAATCTCCACAAAACCACATTTCGGATAGTAATTATCATGTGCTCACTAGTGGCTGGATTCAAGATGGATTTTCTGGAGTTCTAGTGAGAAAGTGTGACTAGTGGAATTCAACCGTGTCTGTTGTGAGGCAGTAACTCACTAAAGACAATGCTGAACGGTGGCACAATTTCGTGGATTAGTTGATGTTAGACATGAATACTGTTAAATGCCGAAAATACTGAGTTTGAGTCCCGTGGATGCATATTTTGAAGAGTTCCATACTAAAACGAGACGGTTGTCCAGTGATTCCATGTTTTCCGTGGTTGTCTACTTCCTAACTCTGAATAACCCTGTCTATCAAATACTGATTATCATTGATTGTTAAGAATGATAGCTTTGTGGAAATTATTTCATT